ATGGGGATAGGACCCATGGGCAGGCGGAGCTGGTGCGTGGGGACAGGACCCACGGGCAGTCAGAGCTCCTGCTGCTGCCCCCGCTGGCATGGGGACAGGACCCATGGGCAGGCAGAGCTGGTGCGTGGGGACAGGACCCATGGGCAGTCAGAGCTTCTGCTGCTGCCGCTTCTGCTGCCCCCACTGGCATGGGGACAGGGCCCATGGGCAGGCAGAGCAGCTGCTGCTGCCCCCGCTGGCATGGGGACAGGACCCATGGGCAGGCAGAGCTGGTGCATGGGGACAGGACCCACGGGCAGTCAGAGCTCCTGCTGCTGCCGCATGGGGACAGGACCCAAGGGCAGTCAGAGCTCCTGCTCCTGCCCCCGCTGGCATGGGGACAGGACCCATGGGCAGGCAGAACTGGTGTGTGGGGACAAGACCCATGGGCAGTCAGAGCTCCTGCTGCTGCCGCTGCTGCTGCCTCCACTGGCATGGGGACAGGACCCATGGGCAGGCAGAGCTCCTGCTGCTGCCCTGAGTTGAGGGTTAGGGCTAATTTTATAAGGCATGGGTACGTGACTTATTTTTACTGGAGAAAAGAAAAGATGATGTAAAAAGTCATTAAATGATTTCAGTGCAGATGGGGTCTGGTTATTGTGCGGTCATATAACTTTAGATACGAATCTGGCCATATAGATCGGCATGTAGATGAGGATGCCCTGGGCTTCTCTCCCTGGGGCGGTCCTAATTCATACCATAAAAAAAGTCCACTGGGTCGTATAGTTTGGCATGTAGGCCAGGTCACCTTGGGCTTCTCTAGCTGGGGCAGCCTTAATCCACATCAGCTGCTTCAGGGCAGACCAGGCGGGTCAGATGGCCCCTGCCCTGGCAAGGCGCCCTGGAGGCACAGCTCTTAAAAGAGGCTCCAACAGGATTTGTTTTCTCACTTGCTCTTTGCTTGAAAGTCTGTCTGTACAGTGGAATCTGGATTTCATGAGGAGCTGTGCGAGTGTAAAGTCCACCCTTTAAAGCCTGGCTTGGAGCAGGCCCTGGGCCAAAGTGGGACGTCTGTGAGGTGTGTGCTTTCTAATTCCACGGGCCCTTCTTTCTCTATCCTTCCATCTATTCCCGGCTCCACAGCCACCCTTCCCCTTTACAAGATCTTCCTATATAGTAAAGTGAAAAGTGACTGTTAACGTGTTGCTAAGTGAAAGAAGCTGATCTGAAAAGGCTGCAGACCGTATGATCCAACTATATGAAGCTCTGGAAAAGGCAGAACCATGGAGACAGAAAGAGATGAGTGGTTGCCAAGGGTCGGGGGGCAGAGAGGAGCGAATAGGTGGAGCCAGAGAGTTTTTAGGGCAGTGAAAATATTCTGTGTGAAACTATAATGGTGGATACACATTATATACATTTGTCCAAACTCACAGCATGTACCCCGCCAAGAGTGGTCATAATGTAGACTACGGCCTGTGGGTGAGAAGGACCTGTCAATGCAGGTTCATCTTTGGTAACAAATGTGCGCTCTGATGGGTGATGCTGATCATGGGGAGGCTGTGCACGTGTGAGGAAAGGGTGTAAGGGAAATCTCTGTACCTTCCTCTCAATTGTGCCATGAACCTGAAACTGCTCTAAAATAATAGTCTTAAAAAAAAGCCAAAACAAACAAAATGATCAGTAACACACAGTTACTTATTCTCCTAGATAATTTTATGTTTTGAGGACAAATAGCTTTAAGCCAAAGAGAGAGTTGCAATCGTATAATAGAAAGAACTGTGCATCACAATAAATCTGTTAGCATTTATTCGGCATCTTCTGTTTACCCAGCAATTGTGGTCAGCATTGTAGCTTCCTAACCCGTCAGTCATTCCACGCCATCCCCTCCTTCTTGCTGGCAGAGCACTGTTGTCTGGTTGGCCCCTCCCCCTCGTGTGATCCAGCAAGGTGACTGTACCCTGTTACCAGGAGGTGCAAGTTGCTTTGGTCTAAACCAATCAGGCTACCTGGATTCCTGTTGCCAGGGGATGTGATGCAAACTTGGCCAATGAGAGATAAGGGGCTTCGGGAAAGGTTTTCTTTTTTGATATAAAGAGTCTTTCAGGGCAGAACCTGCACTCCGCTGGTCGTTGTTCCAGAAGGTGATACTCTTGGAGCATCTCCCGTCATCTCGCATCCATCAGGGAGACACACTGCAGATGCAGAATGATGCAGAGGATGAGTCCTTGATGACGTAAAAAACCTCGGAACAGCTTCAATTCTGAACTTCTTATTATAATTCTGTAGTTTTAAAATGATGCTTTCAGTGGAGACCTCTGTTATTTAGAGCCGAAAGCATCCTAATGGATGCCTTGCTAAATGCTTTATATAGATCATCTCACTTGATCCTCACAACTTTATGTTGATGAGAAAATAGTGGCTTAGAGAGCTTAAATAACTTTCTCAAAATCACACAAGTGGTAGCTGGGACCTCACACCCAGACACCTGCCTTCAAAGAGCCTGGCTGTCACCCATCATGGTAAAAAAACTGTCTCTCTTGCCTCTACCTCCCTTGGGGATCTTAAGTAAGTCCCTTAACCTTGCTGGGCCTCAATTTCTCATCTGTGAAGAGAAAGTACTGAGTGGCCTCAAATGTCCTTCCCAACTCTAAAATTCCGGGAATGAAATTCCAACTCTAAAATTCTTGGTTCCCTATGGGGACCAAGTCAAGGCACCATTGCACAAGAATCAAGGTCTGTATTTAGTTGGCTCCTTGCATGCAGATAGAATAATCCAACTCTGGATACATAAGCAGAAAATAAACTTGTTGTGACATATCAGGTGGATCACAAGGTTGTGTCCTGGGAACAGTCCTGGGAGGAAATCACCACTGCCCCCATGGCTGCCCGCGGTCTGCAGACAGCACCAGTGCTGCCAAGGTACCTTGCTGGACACAACATGGGAGGCCCTCACTGGTGGCCTCGGGGGATTCTAGATTTCCCCCAACTCTTCATTTGCTCCAGGGTAAAAGTCTCAGGTGGAAGCATTGAGGTCACATGGACTTAAGTTGTATGCCCTGGTTGCCAAGGGCTGGGAGTCCAAGTCCAGGTGGGGATCCCCCAGAAGCAGCCCCAAAACAAGGATTTGAGTGCAAGTGGTTTATTTGGGAGATGATCCAAGGAAACCTTGGTAAGGGAATGGGAAAACCAGACAGGGAGGGAGTGAAGCAAAAAGGGTGTGTTATCAAGTGAGTTACCCTTGTGAGTAACTAGAGCTTGGGGAGTTCTGGGAGACAGTGTGGACCCGGCGTCTCAGAGCTATGCTGCTGACAGGCAAGCGAGTTACCCGGCCACTCTGGACAGTTGGTTGAGGGCTGCTGCGTGGGAGGCAAAGTGTGCGTTCCCCAGGACTCCCTGCTCGCCCTGTGTCCTGCCTTTGCACAGTGTGCTCTGGGGCCGCCCTCGGGCAGCACACCTCAGGAGCTGGCAGCTGGAGGTGTGCCCGTGCACAAGCACCTGGCATTTGCTGCCTCTCACCAATGTTTGCACAAACATAGGGAGAAAGTTCTGAAGCTAGACAGCCAACATGATCAGCATCCATGGCAGGGTCCTTGTGAACTCGTGTCAGGCAGGCAGCCACACTGTGCACGGGGCCCCTACAGCCCACACAGACCTGGGTCCTTTGGGTATCCCAGCAGCTGGGGCCTGGCCACCTGTTAGAAATGCAGCCAGGCAGGCTCCGAAGTCTCCTGGCTTCCTCACTGTCACCTCGACTCTCATGGGACCACATGCTTCTCGCAGGCAGATGGCATCTTTGGTGGTTTGTACTTCCCCATCTCTTACCAGTTGCATTCTTGACAGTCTTAGGCACATCGCAGCCAGTAATATGTCTAAAAATTGAATTCAAATTTTATAAATGCTATTATTAGTACTCTATATAGGTTGATGGAAAACTAGAGTCATAACTATTTGGAAGGACCCTGTAAGTCAAATACAAGACCTTTTCTACACCAAAACCCCTTGTACAGCATCCCTGTCATGACCGGTAGTCACAGCTATTGTCCAGTGACGTCCAGGGAGCCAGTGTGGCGGCCTGGGGAGGAGTGGCACTCTGCAGTCAGCCTGCCTTTGAGTCCCGGCTGAGCCTTCCCCTGTATGCGGCTTTGGGCAGGTTATGGAAGATTCCAGAGCCTTAGTTTTCTTATCTATAAAACGGGGATAATGATAGTATCCCTTACATAGGAGTGTGAAGATGAAATTAAAAAGCGGGTGTAAACTAAATGTAAATTCACACACACATAACATACATTCGTGTATATTGGATATACCTCTGTCAGTGTAGCCATCTGCCTAGTATTTATATGGATAATGACAGTTAGCGTAGTCAGTGAAGAGCCAACGCTGCATCTGGGGTGGCTGTTATCATTGTTCCAGAGGCAGGCCACTCAGCCTCCCTGAAGACAGGCGTCTGTGTGGGAACAGCGGCTATTGTTAGCAATGCTTCACTGGATCAAGCCCGGATCTTTTGTCCCCCAACTTCCCTGCAAAGGTTCAACATTGAAACTAAATTCTAAATTCCACTCTCCCAAAGGAGTAATTTGTAAACACGGGTTGATCTTGTTTTGCCTTCTGAAACTAGAGGGGATATATATTTTTTTATTTGCATGATTTGCTTTCAAATAAGAGAAGTGAGTTATCACTCTAAGCCAGTGTTTCCCAATGTCTTCTGGAAACTCTACTCTCCAGAGGAAAAAGTCTCTCTTTCAAGTCACAATGCCCATTCATACATTTAAGGCTCTGAGAAGTCCTGCAATAAATCATTCCCCAAGCTAATTTGAGCGTGGAACCCTTTGTTAAATGACATTTATTAATATCCCTGCAATTTTCTGGCATAGATTTTGATTTGTTTGCCCTCTTTTCAACAGGTTTTTGGTGTTGACCACAAATACTACAGATACCGGAAATAAGTGCTTTATTTTCACAAAAAATCTTTTTTTCACTTAAAAACTTCTTTTCCCACCTCTTCCTTGTGCTCTTTCAGAAGGACATTTTTCACTGTCTGCAAAACTGGGAAGACACAGAGGGAGAGGCAAAAGAGCCTGCTCCCTCCGGACCTGCTCTCCCCTCCCCCTCCTCCTCCTCCTCCCTCACCAGGAAAGCGACGGTGCCTCTGGGTCCTAGCTGCTCCCACTGCAGCGGCAGACCACGGAGAGCTGCCCCAGACACCTGCTGCCCTTTTCTCTCCGTGAACCTGGAGAGGAGGTTCCCCGTTGCAGTGAGCATGAAAAACCCAGACCTGAAAGGGAGGGCGTGTTTTCACAGCACCTTCTCCTCGTCAGCCTCTTTCCAACGCTCCTGAAAACCGGCTCTGAAAAGATCTGCTCTGTTCAGACAACGACTAACCGGGCTCCTCACCCAGAGCCCGAGGGTGAGGGAGAGGTCAGTTCCATGATTTGAATGACAATGGCTCCTCCAGGTTGTTTCTGCCTGATAACAGCAGGCTGCACTCCTTTTGCAGGAAAACCGTGTCATTAAGTTTGAGGGACAGGCCTTGGAGAGGCACAGAGACACAGGACCTCAGTGCGGGATCACGAAGTCCAGACTTTCTGGTTTACAAGGGAAGCTGTTATGGCCCAGAGAGGGTAAGAGTTTTGACTGAAGTCACAAAGCAGAGATGGTTTCTTCCTACTGCTCTAATGATACCTGATGCGGGGTCGGTGAGCCGAGGAGTCGAAAGAAAGATTTCTTTAGACTCTTAAGATCTGGCAGTAGTGCTCTTTTATTTAGAGAATAGTATAGAATAGCATGGGGACAGGACCCATGGGCAGTCAGAGCTTCTGCTGCCCCCGCTGGCATGGGGACAGAGCCCATGGGCAGGCAGAGCCGCTGCTGCTGCCCCCGCTGGCATGGGGACAGAACCCATGGGCAGGCAGAGCTGGTGCGTGGGGACAGGACCCACGGGCAGTCAGAGCTCCTGCTGCTGCCCCGAGTTGAGGGTTAGGGCTAAATTTAAGGCATAGGTATGTGAGTTATCTCTTTACAAGACAAAGAATATGTAAAAAAGTTAAAATGGTATCAGTGACCATATGGTCTGGCCATTTGGCGGTCCCACAACTTTTAGATAAGAATCAAACCGGATTGAGTAAATGGCAGAAGTCACCGCTTGAATTTTATCCTCGGCTAAAGACAAAGGAGGATTTGGGGGGGGGGGGGGTGGTCAGTGACATGAGGTTGCCAGACAGTAACCAACTTAAGTTCTTGCCTCTGGCATTGATTAAGAGCTTCTAGAGATAAGACCATCCCCCCTTCTTCCTGGCACAGAGAGGGAGGCATCTTCACAGATAGAGGTTTCCCTTAGAAATGTAAATGTTTCCCAACAAAGGGGCAAACAAATTCCACTCCTTGGAGCCTGAATCTCATCTGTAGTTTTAAAACTAACCAGCCTAAAAATCCTCATCATAAACCATTTTAAAATTAAGCAGCCTAAAAATCCTCATCAATACCTTTCTTGGCTTCCCTTTCTGCTCTTTTCTGTGTGGGGGTTGTGGGGACGTGAAGGGGCACATGGCTCCAAAAATCTGATTTTTACCTTTCCTCATTTGCAGCCAAGAATTATATTGCTGGGCTTAAGATCTTTCTCAATCATTCAATAAATATTTATTAAGTGCTTACTGAGTGTCAGGCATTGTGCCAGGACCTTTTTTCATTGTCCCAATTAAATAAACATGATTTATGTCCTTCTGAAGCTGGTAGGATGAGGCCCTAGGCCAGTTGCTATATGCACAAAAAATGCCATTTTATATTTTCTGGTGCCTGGCACCCCACACTTTGGCCCCAGTCACAAAGACCCCCACTGGTGTCCCTTGAACCAAGACGGTCTATGTCTGAGACCTCGGCCTTGGAGCCCTGCAGAGGCGGTCTGCAGAGTCTCGCATCCCTGTAACCTTGCAGTGGACGGGGGCAGTCCTCTTCCCTGAGCACGGTGGAGGACGGGATGGTCCGAGATTGGCGTACTTGCGCCAGCCCCATCTCCACAGTGTGAGGGACCTGGCTAAGCTCATTGGGGGTGTCCCCTAAATTCTTCCGACTTCTAGAGGTGAGCAGCCTGATGCTTAAAGGAGGGGAAGGGAAGGGAAGATGGATGCTCTGGCCTATAGGGGGTCAATACCCTTGGGTCCCACCTGGAGGTATGAAAACTTAAATTCAACAAATGTCTACAGAGTGTCTTCCACAAGCCGGTCACAGGTCTAGGTGCCTGTACATAGCAGTGAGCGAAACAGGCGAAGATCTCTGCCCTTGTGGAGTGTTCATATGAACGTGGAATGTACGTATAAATGTGGAACATACCTATGGACATGGAATGTACGTATGAACATGGAACGTATGTGATGAGGATTTTTAGGCTGCTTAATTTTAAAATGGCTTATGATGAGGATTTTTAGGCTGGTTAGTTTTAAAACTACAGATGAGATTCAGGCTCCAAGGAGTGGAATTTGTTTGCCCCTTTGTTGGGAAACATTTACATTTCTAAGGGAAACCTCTATCTGTGAAGATGCCTCCCTCTCTGTGCCAGGAAGAAGGGGGGATGGTCTTATCTCTAGAAGCTCTTAATCAATGCCAGAGGCAAGAACTTAAGTTGGTTACTGTCTGGCAACCTCATGTAACTGACCCTCCCCCCAACAAATCCTCCTTTGTCTTTAGCCAAGGATAAAATTCAAGCGGTGACTTCTGCCGTTTACTCAATCCGGTTTGATTCTTATCTAAAAGTTGTGGGACCGCCAAATGGCCAGACCATATGGTCACTGATACCATTTTACCTTTTTTACATATTCTTTGTCTTGTAAAGAGATGACTCACATACCTATGCCTTAAATTTAGTCCTAACCCTCAACTCGGGGCAGCAGCAGGAGCTCTGACTGCCCGTGGGTCCTGTCCCCACACACCAGCTCTGCCTGCCCATGGGTCCTGTCCCCATGCCAGCGGGGGCAGCAGCAGCGGCTCTGCCTGCCCATGGGCTCTGTCCCCATGCCAGCGGGGGCAGCAGAAGCGGCGGCAGCAGAAGCTCTGACTGCCCATGGGTCCTGTCCCCATGCTATTCCACACTATTCTCTAAATAAAAGAGCACTACTGCCAGATCTTGAGAGTCTAAGAAATCTTTCTTTCGACTCCTCAGCTCACCGACCCCGCATCAGTATGTATGAACGCGGAATGTACACTTGAATGTGAAAGGTACATATGGTGGCTTCCAGTGGATTCACTGATAACTCAGTCCAGAGAAAGAATGAGGCGCAGGACGGGCCCCTGAGGCTGCTCACCAGGATGGAGTAAGGGAGAGGTAATGTGGGTTTCCAAAGGAATACTTTATTTACCTTCCCAACTTTTCTGGGACTCTGATTTTTGCTGTGCTCTTAACATTAGCAGGAATTGCCAGTGTCTTTCCTTGAAATTGAGAACTCTGACCTCCTGACAATCTCCCGTAGCTATGGGCAGCAGGAGGGAGGACCAGCCCACCCATGGCACCTTACTTTCATCCTTCCAGAAGGTGGGGCCTCTTGGTGACTGGGGCCAATGTATCAAACTGGTTTCTGCCATCAGTCTTTTGAAAAGAGTATGGAAGGATGCTCCTATAACATTCTAGAACTCAGAAATGTTAAGGAACAGCATTTCCCTGACTAATCAAGTCAGAAGGCTGGAGCAGAAGCTGTTCCATTATAGCCAAGGCTTTCAACGTATGTATGGTCTTTAAACCAGCAGCCTCAGCATCAACTGGTGTGTTAGTTACATATTGTTGCTTAACAAATTATCCAAAAACTTAGTGGCTTAAAATAAGAAAAATGTATTATAGTTTCTGTGGGTCAGGAATGTGGGTGTGCTTAGCTGGGAGCCTTAGGCTCAAGATCTCTCATGAGGTTACAGTCAAGCCATCAGCAGGGGCGGTGGTCTCATCTGATGGCTTGACTCCATTGAGGGAGAAATCGACTTCCAATCTCACTCATGTTGCTGTTGTTGGGCCTCAGCCTCTCACCACATGAGCCTCCTCATAGAACTGTTTCATAACATGACAGCTGGCTTCTCCCTGGACAAACGATCCAAGAGAGAGTGACAGATCACCCAATATGGAAGCCAAAGTCTTTGTATAACCTAGAGTTGGAATTGACATCCCATCACTTCTACCAGAATCTATGTGTTAGAAGGAAATCAGTAAGTCCAGCCGACACTCAGGGGAGGCAATTACACAAGGCCTGCCACGAGGAGGTGGGGATGATGACACGCCATTGAAGAGGCTGCCCACTACACCTGGACCCTTGTTAGAAGTGCAAATTGCCAGGCCCCATCCGAGACCTATTGAATCAGGAACTCTGAGCACTGGGCCCATCTTACAAGCTTCATCACCTTCTAGGTGATTCCGATCCACACTGAAGTTTGATAACCATTGTCTTAGAGTCAGCGTTGGCAAACTGCAATTAGGCTTTGTGGGTGCTACTCTCTCTGTCCTAACAACTGAATTCTGCCATATAATGGGAAAGTAGTCATAAGAAATATGTAAACAAATGGATGGGGCTGTGTTCCAATAAAACTTTATTTACAAAAACAGGCTGTCTTAGTTTGGGCTGCTATAACAAAATACCATAGACTAGGGGGCTGAAACAGCAAATATGTATTTTTCACAGTTCTGCTGGCTGGGAAGTCCAAGATCAAGATGCTGGCCCATTTGGGTCCCAGTGAGGATTCCCTTCCTGGTTTGCAGACGGCTGCCTTGGCAGGGAGAGAGAGCTCACAGCCCTTCCTCTTTTTATACAGCCCCACCCTCCTGATCTCATCTAACCCTGAGCACCTCCCAAAGGCCCCGCCTCCTGATACCATCACATCAGGGTTAGGGTTTCAGCATTTGAACTTGGGGGGATGCAGCCATTCAGTCCAGAGCACAGGCAGTGGGTGGGATTTGGCTCCCCGGCCGCAGTTTTTCCACCAATGTCTTAGAGTAGCGGGGAAGTTTGGTGTGATCAGAGTTGGAGGGGGTTAACTCCATGTTTCTTTTTTTAACTAGGAAAAACTGTTTTCTCTCTTTCCTTCCAGGCTGGTCTGAGATGATACAGACTCCCCAGGTCCTGAGTGAGTACCACGACACCACGAAGGGTTGTGCATGTGCTTGAGTCTTCTAATTTTACTTTTTGTGGCTCTCCAGTGAATCACAAGCTCTTTGAGATAGTATAAGATGGAGGTTAGGGACGTGGGCTTTGGAATCAGACAGATGTGAGTTCGAAACCTGACTCTACCAGCACTGGGAACATGGTAAGTCACTTTGCCTCTCTGTGCCTCAGTTTTCCCATCTGTGAAATAGGATAATAACAGCGTGTAACCTGTACTGTTATCACAAGGAGTTGTTCCAATTACCTACTATAAATGACCTCCAAATTTAGCAAGTTAAAACAACAGCCGGGCAGGTCTTTTGCTCCAGTGGTGTGATCTGGGGCTGCAGTCATCTGTAGGCTGGACGGGGCTACATCCAAGATGGTTTCCTCTGTCACTCAATGCGGCTGCCAGTTGTTGCTGGCTGTCAGATGGAAGCTCATCCGGGCTGTCACTGGAGCACGCCGGTTGTCTTCCATGTGACCCCTCCATGTGGCTTGGTGTTCTCACAACATGGCCTGGTGGCTGGGTTCCAAGAGGGAACATTCCGGTGCATACAAGTCTCAGAAGCTCCCCAGTGTCACTTCTGCAGCAAATCCTGAGACTAGCTCTGTTTCAGGAGTAGGAGGGCAAAAAATTCACTGGCCTCTTTAAGCCACTGTAAGAGTAAATGAAATTAATCACAAGAAATGCTCATCATGGAGCCTGGGATATGGCAGATGATAAATATTAAGTTCTTGTATTAGGAAGCAGCAACTCTCTTGCCTGGCTGTGTCCTGCACAAGGGTTTACTGCTTGCCGCTCGTCTTTTGTCAGTCAACCAGTGTTTCTCCAGGCCTGCTGGATGTTTTTGGAAGGTCAGAAGCAGGAAGCCTCTCCTCTCTAAACTGTTCATGACCTGGTCAGTTTCCTACATCAGTTCTCAAAAAGCTCATTTCCCGAGACCTCTGCAGGCCAAGTGCTCCTCCCCCACGAGCCATGTGCTTTTCAAAAGCCAGAGAGAAAAGAGGGGAGAGGCTGCCGGAGGGTGTTCTGAGGGATTTGATTGATTCCAGGGTCTTGGCCCCTCTCAGCTGCTGAGATACGGATTCTCAGCCTGTGGGTAGATGGAGGGCCAGAGAAGACTTCAAAGAGAGGAAGCGCCCCTCATGCCAATCCTCCTTATTGGAGATGCTGGGAGGTTCATCTCTCCGTTTAGAGCCGCGGGCAGGGGGCATGGGGCCATGCTGATTATTCAGTTCCCATTAGGATACATCCTTTTGAGATTAAGCAACCCCCAAATTTTGCAGCCAAAGAAAAAGAGGGTTGTATTTGGAAAATTGATTTCAACTGGGTGTATAGGTTTATCCCAAGTTAGAATAAAGTACTAGTTGTAAAAAAGGGGCCAGGCATGTAACATGAGTTAAGTGGCAGCATGTAATGCAATAGGGACTGGTAAAGACTAGGGAAAAATGGAGAGTGAAGGCCTCATTAAAGGGGCAACCACTGTGTATTTTTACTTGTGGCCATATAGGCAATTATTGCTAAATCTTCACATTTTTAAAGAATAGCCTGAAATCCAGACTTTTAATTCAAATTTCCCATTTACAAAATGTTGCAACTAATTTAAAAATGTTAAATGGCCTGTGTTGGCCCATTAAATACACACACACACACACACACACACACACACACACACATCTGGCAGATAACCTGCAAGAGAGAGACACAGGAGACCGCACACTTTTCCTGAGCAACATTTCTCCTTATTGTTTTACTTGAGGGTCACATTACAGAAGAACTAGAACAAGGGCAGGGAGACATTGGGTATTTCTGGAATGTTATGGGACCAAATAGTTCTGAAAAAATAATACAAACTTTTATCCTTCCTTATTTAATCACAAGAAGAATGATGTCGCCTTGTGTGAGTGCTGACCTCTCAGGAAATGGTTAAACTAGTTCTGATGAGCTTCGTACAGACAGCAAAGCAGTGTCCGTGTCTTCTCAACCGGCTGTTTGAGGGCAAGGGGTCTTCTTTTTATTTTAAAGAGGAGAAAATAGTGATTCACTGAGGTTCCTTTAGGAAAGGACCGGAAGTCCCACAGAAATCCAGTTCTTGACCTGAGATAGTACTAAGAATGTCTGTGCTTGCATCCAGGTGAGTCCCTACGTGAATAAAAGAAATAATTATATGAACTGGTAAAGCTGGAAAAGCAGGATGTTTTGTGGTGGTTGCACATAAGGAAGGACTTCAAGGCGCCGAAACAATGGAGAGAAGCTCAAAGTTTTGTATGGTTTTAGCCTAGAGTTTCTAAAAGCAAGAATTAACAGCTTTCTTGCTCATACCCTCTGCGAGCAATGCTGCTCAGAAGGGGGGTTGGCAAAGGAGATGCCCTCTGGATCCTTTTCCATCCTGTGATTTTTTGGGGGGCCTAGCCAACAAAGGCCCCCCAATTTACTAACTCAACAAAATGATTTACCAGCTGTCTCTTCCCCCGGGAGGTAAACATCCAGTAAAATACATTAAATTCCTATTCTTCATTACTTGGCCTCCAGGATCATCACCCACTCCGGGCGAGCACTTATCTCAGAGGCGTGACAGCACGTTTAACGTGGCGTCTCCTTTATTACAAACGGAGCAGAAGACAGGAGCACAACCCGATGGTGATGTGTCTTAGTGCGAGGAAAATTCCACCAGCAAGAACTTGAATTTTGGACAAAGGGAGACTCGGGGTGTGTGTGGGAGCGGGGACAGTGAGATTCTTAGAGGCCTCTCAGTTTCTTCCATTCGACTCCGAGCCTTTCCCAGCATTAGACTCACTTTTGGAACTTTAGGTCCTCATAGAGCGACGGATCTTATGGGACAGTACTTCCCATATTTGATTACTTATAGTCTATCTTGAATTAAAAGCTTATTGTACCAAAATAGGGGGCTTTTGCATGGTGCTGGTGAACAGGGGGTGCTATCCTGTCACCATGACAACAGTCATTTGCATTAGAGCTCCTCAGGCCACAGTCCAATCACGTGGCCCGGAGGGACCCCTTTGAAGCCCTTGTAGTCTTTTCCCCGAGTGTGATTGCTAACATCTTCTGAACATAATCATTAACCATGTTCGTAACAGATAATTAGCTACCGTACTTAGCGTTTTCCATCCCTGAGTGCTCTGTGGAATTCCGAATGCAAGACCTAGTCTGGTGTTACTTTACCTAACCAAGTGAAATAAAGCAGTTTGGCTTCTTGAAACCTAGGAAAGTTTGCATTTCACACAAAAATATGGTGCTGACCCCAGGGTCAAGCATGTGTGTCTGTCACGTGCTCTGGGCCGTTCTGGGCCTCTGTCTTTGACCACCTCCCCAGGTTGCGCCGGCGATGCTGGGGGCTCCCTTCTCCTGTATGTGTCTCCTCTTTCCCCGCCATGTCTGCTCACTTAGTGAACTTCCAGTGCCAGCTTGTGCTTCGGGTTCCTTGCACTCACTTGCCAGGATACATAGGGATTTTTTGTTTTTCTGTTTATAGAAGTTTTCCCTGTAGATTTCTGTTTATCACCTAACATCATTCCTTAAGACTCCCAAGGCTGTGTCGTGACCCCGGGAAGCCAGGTTTCTCTCTGGGCGCAGCCAGCCGGCCCAGGAGAGTCTCAGTGCCGGGAAAAGCCTCCTCCTCTGGGTCCCCTGACTCCGTTTGATCTTTCAGGGCACACTCAGATCAGGGCAGCCAGACAAAACAGATGTTAAAAAGAGAGCGTGTGAGAGGAAAAGGACGGCAAAGAGAACACTCCAACCTCCAAGCCACGATAGAGATTGATCTTTACTAACATTTTCCCAAGGCCTTGATTAAAGCATTGCACTATTCGTATTACCATGTTATTATACAAATAGGACGCAGAATCATTAGAATGATCCAGTGTGCTGAGATGCTTTAAACGTTACCTTGCCAGGGCACCTGGATTCTAAAGATGAAGCTATAACCTTTAATAGCCTGGGCATCTCTTGGGACAAGGGTGTGGGCATGAAGAAGAAGAATATGAATCACACATCACGTCTGCTCCTTGCCCTACTAATCTTTCTTTGCCAACAAAATTGACTAAAATGAGCTTCCAGAGCTATGTGAGTGCCATATGTTCAGGACTCCAAATCAGGACCCACGGCAAAGCCATCATATGCACAGGTGGCAGACTCAATGTCTCCAAAGTCACGTGACTGAAGGAAGCCATCAAAATTCTATTCCAAAAGGGAAAAAGGCCCAGGAGAGGACGCAGAAGGTCAGCCTGCTGGATGAGGGGTTGGGGGTGCCTTGGGGAGGGGCTGTTCCATGCTGAGTACATATATATATATATATATTATGTATACGTATGTGTAATGCATATATGTAATATATATGGGTGTACATACTATATATATATAGTTTTAAAAAATGAGCCACTCAGGTCTTTAAAACAGCAGCTGGCTAGGCCACCTTTATCTCCTCAATTTGCTTTTGGATCCAGGTGCCTGGTCTCTACAACATTACAGCCCCCACCCCCATGCCTAAAAGCCCAGGAAATGGGGCCAGTCCCCTATTTGTGCTGTACTCCAGGCAAAGCTTCTATTATAATGAGCTCCCTTGTGATTCAGAAGCCAATAAACCTCTGCCATGAATACCCCCTAGTGAACCAAATTATACGTTTCTTTCTCCCAATTGATCATTGTTTTATTTAATATGCTCATACCTATCTAATGGGTGGCATAAAATTGTCATGTGTATGGGAAAAACATACTGGGCTCTGATTGTGTGTGTGCATGTGTACTTGTGTGTCAAAACTTTTCTAACGAACACTGCCACAAGTAAAGGTCCTTCTGGGATGAGGCCTTGAGAGTGGGGGCACTAAGACCCCATCCAGTCATGTTTCTGAAGGCACAAGGCAGAGGAAGTCCTTGACGTGCAGAATATGATTCCCCAAAGTGGAAGGCAGCTATGGTGCCGGAGTTAAGATCTCCTGTTCTTACACACAGTGGGGTATTTCAAGAACCTCCTTGTCATAACCTATTGGACACAGCTTCCAGGGATGAATGACAATGTGCTGGGGCAGGAATACAGCAGCTGACTGTTTGGCCAATGCATTGTTCTGCATTAATTTGACTTGTTTTTGTCCAAGCCCTGGTGGTGATGAACTCATTTAGAGTCTCTCTGCCTGCCACATGTC